CACCAAATTAGAAATGTAAAATTTTCTACACGGTTGTAATAAAGCTGTTAACTTAACTTAACTTATAAGGGTATCTAAATGCTATATAAGGATATCTCAATGCCATATAAGGATATAATTATTTATTGACATTAAATTTAAAAAGAACAGCAGTAGGGTCATTAAAAACTATAAAACATTAAAAAACGAATAACAATTAAAGGGCGGTGGTCGTCACAACGCGCCCTGTTCGATATGGGACTCATAGCGAAGTACACAACGCGTGTAATATACATTGTTTGTTTACTCGAAATTCGAACACGCGTTGCGAGACGACCTTTAAAAATAAAAAGTGTACACAAACATCAAATAACATAGTCGCAATATAGTGCCATGGTGCAACGAAAGTTCAGTGATTGTCCGTTCCAAAATAGTTGTAAGTATGCAAAAGAAGGCGTGATCACAATGTTCCCATCTCAGTTGTAAAAGCAGAATCAATCAAAAGTATAATACTAGTACATTGTATACGAGTTTGAACTCAGGATAAAGTTCATGATTTACCTTTAGATATCTGCGTTGTCAACGTGTCTTGCCCCGCCTCTACGTACGCTAACAGTTGTCCACACAAAACAATGCTTAAATCATGAATGGAATAAGATACGATGTTGGAAAGGTCGAGTTCAAAGTGCAATTAGCATAACCTTTGACCGCAGACTGCCTAAGTCTGTCATAAGAACACGCAAAGAAAGTAGCTGTTTTTCCTTCTTTATGAGATAAAAAGAAGAAGAAGTTAGAAGCTTATGCTTTTATATATCAAATATAGACAAATACACACACAAATAGAAAATTATGAAAGAAAAATCAGCCAAACATTTTACCGGTCTTTATTTTCTCTGTCGTCTTAGGGAGTTTTATTCTCTCGCCACTTTCGATCACGATCGCGATCAACATGTCGACTGAGTACTTGTCAGAGGAACAGCTTGCCGGATTTGACAAGTATAAGGTAGGCATTCTTGTGTTAATATGTTTTCTCATCACGCTGCTATACTGTTCTTAACGTCAGTATCATTTATGGTAGTTTGGGTGACTCACGGTCGTTTCCACCACAAGGAATAATTGTTAAACACGGGGCGTAATGCGAAAAATTTATCACGCTGGCAATCTCTGTTTTAACAATATGAATATTGACTTACCGTATCATCATATATATATATATATATATATATATATATATAGATGGTGTATTACATTTTCAACGCCATTTTCACTTCTTAGCTGTGTTTAATGATAATGCTCCATGGACTCACGTGGGTATTCGTTTTCACCTTTGAGTGACCCTGATCTGACCCCGAGTCTAGGCACAATCACTTTCTATAATATGTAGTACAAATGTATAATTGCTCACAATTTGACATAATGTACTATCACTTGGTGCATCCATAATGCAATAAAATAAAACATAACCACAACACAATGCAATACAACAACAAACATTATGATACAAGCCGATTTGCTCTGGGTGTTGCCATGGTAGGACATGAACTTGAAGTTAACCTCGGTTTATAATTAAAACCCTAGCATTTAGTCTTCAGAAGTCACTTCACTTTTTCACTAGCGGTCTTTTGCTATTGTTATCATATTCATGCAAGTTGACCCTTTGACCCAGAGATCAATATGATGACAAGCACTTTATATTCTGTTAACATTGTGAAATAGGAAAACAATTTTGTTGTTGTCCTGACACGGTTACTAAATTTTTGTTACCTTGCTGTTTATCTCTGGTATGTTGGTATATTTTTATTGCACTCAATTTATAACCCTACCTAATGCACTTAGTTGCGATTTGCTTGTCATGAAAAATACTTTGATTGTTGTTGAAACTCTTAAGTGTGTGTCCAATAAATAGACTTAGTTTGCGGCATGTTTATAAAATATGGTACCATGAAAAAAATTGATGTCGTATAATTCTACCCCTGGTTAATTTTTGACCAATCACGGACTGCATTCATCCAATTGTACCAGATATTCTGTTTCCAGTTTGACATATTACAAAAAGCAACTGTTTTGTGATTGTATTTTGAAGATTCTTCGTTGAATGCAGCATTTACATTTCATTAAATGTTGTGTTGAAACATACGTTGACACATTGTTTGGGCTGGTGGTCTCTTGTCAGTGTGCAAGTAGAACGAGTTGTGTTCAAGCTTTTTACTCTAAGACTTGTACATTGTAGTAGGTGAAACATTTGGTGTGAAGGTATTGAAAAAATATTTTTTTGAGACAGGGGGCCAGAAATTGTTTCCACTCAACTAGAATGAAAGTATGACCTTCCTGCTGAGAAATCAAAATCAGCCTAGCAAAAAAAATCACAGGAGAGTTAAAATGCCATTCCTAGCAAAAAGAGGTCAAATGAAAAACAATATAAAAAAAATAACTTTGTTTCAACACTCAAGCTAAGTAGAATGAGATATGTCGAAGGAGATACATTTGGCTTGAGGGTATTCAAAAATCATTTTTAGTCCTTTGGACCAATGGTCCAGCCGACTAATCTAATCACAATCCGTAGGCCGTGTGCCGTGTGCCGTAGGCTGTAGACAAAGATATCTCAAAAACCCTTCAGTCTATTTTTCTGAAATTTGGCATTATGATAGCTTGTGTGAATATCTCCAGGGCATTTTTTTTTTATTTCGCTTGAATCATTTTAAAATTACTTTTTAGCCCAAAAACCTGTAATCTCTGTCATACATGGTGATTGGCACAATTTGCATAGTAAACATTTTGTGTTATTTTTTCTGATACACACTTCTCTTATCAAATTGTAGTTTCATAATAAAGAATGTATATTATTTGATGTGTTCATGTATGTTGTGATGGTTTATCACATAAATTATTCGTTTAATGATAGAAAATAGTACTAATTTGAATTTATCATGCATACCCTTGTTATGCATAAAACGATCATTGGACGATATGGCAGTGTGATTCAATGTCTCAAATTTCGCTATAATAATTGTTTTGATAGAATACAATGCGTGATGTGTATTAGTGATTACATGGGCGCTGTCTTAATAAAGTAGTGTGTGTGTTATTGGACGAATTGAACACTTGCTGCGCTGTTTTATTGCACGAACTGGTCACTGACAGGCAACAACCAGTGGCTATATTCATAGCTGCGGTTCCATAGCTCTTTTGTATGACTGACAACTGATTTTTACATTTTTATTTATATTCGTAGTATGGTTTTGTATCTTGTCAGTCGCCTCTGGGGCCGACTAATACCGTCAAGCAATAATAAAGTTGGGCAGCGACAAGAGAGCTATGAACCACATACGGCTATTCATCGAATCACGATTGAGTAAATACACGAGGTACAGGAACGTGTGTTCAAGGTTAACCTCGATACAATACTAGTAATAACTCCTAGCGTATCCCGGGTGTCTTGCATCATGCAGTGCGTTTAGAAGATAAGTATGTTTTTACGGCGTGTGACTGAGAAAATATTAAACCGGTGCTGATAGTGCGACATTGCACTGATTACCGTCGCATCGCCTGAGCATGGATGGTCTGTGCGAATGCACATGCAATCGTAATGCGGTCAATCATGTCAGTCGTGTCTGAGCGCAAACATATTATTCAACATCATCAGAAGGTACTGACATGTTTTTACGGAGTTTAACTGAGAGAATATTAAACCGGTACTAACAGTATGACATTGCACAGCCCTGTGTAAATGCCTGTTGTTCCGGTTGCTAAATACTGTAGGGTGGTGTAAGCATGACTAGACATTTCACTGAAAGTACCGTTCGCTTAGCCTGAGTGTGGGTGGTCTGTGCATGGAGTTTTTTTAGCTCCATGGTCTGTGCGAAGCACACAAAATCGCAATGCGGTCAATCATGTCAGTGGGTAAATGTTATCAAACACAAAAATATTATTTAACATCATCGGTCGGTACTGACATTGTTTTCTTGGCCCCGTGAATCATAAAAACCAATCGAAACGCGACTCGATGTTGTCAACTTGTCGTTTTCAACAACGGTTGTGACCCGGAAGTAGTTCACTCTCGCTCAACTTTCCTGGTAAGTAACGTGAATTTATTGTTGCCTCTGCCATTTTTATAGTGTGTTGTTTTATCGTGGATTTTTTCTAAAGTCCAATTATGAATATTTGTGATTGAATGACTTTTGTTAATACTTTTCTGATAATTAATGTTCTTAATATCTATTCTGAGTAATCCTGTAATTTAGCGATTTGGACCCTTCACTGTTCATGCGAGTCAGAGCATGTGGCTCCCGATGTGGCCACCCATGCTCGATCGGCGTATATGCGTGTGTGTGTGTGGGGAGGGGGGGGTTAACTGAAATACGTTTGTAACTGCCGTTATGAAAAAAAAAATAATTATTTACTTCATTATACATGCTTTGGGACACTCCTCGCACCTTTTGGGCTAAATCTGTTTTATATGCACAATATGTAATTTATCTAATTTCCATATTTTTCTTAAATTGGGATTATCTCTTGAAGAATTCGACATATTTGCCCTTTGAGTCAACTTTGATATGGATATGCATTGTTGTAATAGATGCACTAATAGGGATAATTCACTAATTAGAGTAAATCCTAAACAACTCGAATGATTTTGTCCAAATTTTATAGAGACACTGATGTAATCTGTGTGCCATATTACTATTGGGGTTAATTTGCATACCGGGTATGTAAATTGGCAATAGCATATTGTTTTTACTAAATTAGGATTATTTCTTAAATGACTCAACAGGTTTGGATCAAATTTGGTAGGCATCTTCATGTCATATTATTGGGAATAATTTGCATATGTAAATTAGTTAATTTACATATTTATTTACTAAATCATGAACATCTCAACAGGTTTGATGTAATCTGCATGTCATGTTGCTAGTGTGGATGCTTTGCATATGCAGCTTAATAGCTAAATTACATATTGTTTTGATAGTGGACGAATGCGTGCTAATTATATGCCAGTATTTTATTTGTGCAATCATTATTTTTATTCGAATTCTAGGCCTCTAAATTTATGTGCTACAAATCCATTGTAGGTATGAATGACATGGTGCTTTCATTAAACCTGTTTGTGTTTCTTCTTTTTTTCAGAGAACATGCAGATTGACCAAACAAGCTGAGGAGACACTGCCCTCACAAAATTGAGGGTATAACCCTTACTAATGAATCTCATAATTTATTTGCAATATATCTGATAATAAACTTGACACTGAACCTGATAATGTACTTGATAATAAATTGAATGGAACTAAATATAAAGCAAGTGAAGTTGATAGCACTCTGTGCTTAGACTAGCAATGTACTTGGTAACAAAGTTTATTTTTTAAATTCATCTGAAGATTACTTGCTGAATTTTGAACATATTTTATTAATAGTCAGAATCTTGAACAGTACCAGTTAAAATCATGTATGTCTGCTTCCCAAGTTCTGCTTAATTCCAAAGGACTTTGGTGCCCCTGGGCCCCATGTTTGACTGCTGTTATGGCAATGGTGGGCTAGGAATTTTTTTCAGATTTTACCACGTAACTAGAGTGAAAGTGTGACTTGCCAAGTTTAAATGAAATCGGCCTGCCAAAAAAATCTCAGGAGAGTTGATAAGTAAAGACGACAAAGCAGGAGAGGACATGGGGTTTTGTACCCTCCCCCTGCACTCTGCCAGCCAGGGATAGTTTGTCAGTCCTAGTGACAAGGGATTAATTTGTCCTTAGTCCTGCCTCCACTACGGGTCACTCCTCTTTCGAGGACCCGCAGACACCCCCAGAGAGGGGACCTGCCCAGCCATCAGAGGTGGCTTGCTCACTTGGGCAGCCCCTAATGGCTTCCGGGATCCAGACGACGGGATCCAAAGCCAACCCGACTGCACGACTCTCCTGGTCTGGCCGAGTGCTGAACGCAGTGGGAACACACAGACGTTGTTGACGGGTGGACCTTGCTAAATAGAAGCCTAAGTCCCTAGGGTGGGGCAATCTCATGCTTAACCCTTTCCGCTGGACCAAGCGCTACCGGATCAATACAATGTTTGAGACCAGAGCCAGCAGAGTCTAGAGCCAAATCTCGCGGCCCGATCGGATCACTTGGTTTCTCCCCTGACCCCAGTACCACGATTTTTTGGTTCGGTGAGACGGACAAAGAGCAATGGCTGCATTCATGGAATCTTTTGAGTTTGTGGCCGGCCGACTGGAACGTATTGCTTTGCGCCTCCAGCACTTTGAAGTCTCCTAGACCAGCAGACACAGCCATTGGTGGGACACTCTGAAGTCTCCTAGACCAGCAGACACAGCCATTGGTGGGACACTCTGAAGTCTCCTAGACCAGCAGACACAGCCATTGGTGGGACACTCTGAAGTCTCCTAAATCAGCAGACACAGCCATTGGTGGGACACAACACAGCTACGCAGGATATCCTGCAGTGTCATCAGGGTCTCGTGGCAGGGGCTGCCTCTGTGTAGCGGGATGCTGTTTTGGCCGACGAACAAAGTCACTGGATGCTTCACTGTCTCAGTTACGCAGACTGGACCTCCCCTACCGTCTTTCATTTGAGGATGGAAGGAGCAGTCTTGGTACTTTGGGATCCCACTAACCAGTTGGTACAGGTGAGATCTGCGAACTAGTTTGGCTTCTGTGAAGCGAAAATGACCCAAAGCTGAGAAAACATAATGACCAAAGTCGGCAGCAACTGGCCAGATGTAGCCAGGAGACGAGCGTCCATGCTCTTCTGGAGGAGGGAAGAGTGCCCCCCCCAAAGAAAGGACCAGGTTGTGGTCCCGCCCTGTTCCTGGGTGGTCGCCCACCCAGCTCGCAGAAGCAAATTTGACGCTTCCTTTTGTGATGAGGGGGATGGGCATATGTTTGGCAGGAGGCAGAGGCTGAATCTACATGTATCGACTTCTACAGGCCTCGCGAGGTCTTGCCTTGGCAGAGGAGAGATCACCCCAATGTAGAACCAACGAACCCACTTATCTCTGTCGCCCACAGATTGCGTTGGTGTATTCTGGCTTGGATGCAGCACGTACATTTGTAACTGACTCCTGTACTCCAGGGGGTGATACACGGTTACAAGTTTGCTTACAAAAGGCGCTATACACAGGATAGAGAACCCTGCATTAAGTCCGGGCTTCTACTCACAAGTGTTGGTGGTTCCAAAGACTCCAGGTGGCTGCGCCCAGTTCTGGACTTAAGCAAACTAATTCAGTATGTGCTTCCTGGAAGCACCAAGCACTGTTTTGCTCTCCTTGCTCTGTTTCTACTAGTTAGCCTCGCTAGACTTGAGCGATGCTTACCCGCTCATACTGTTGCACCCAGCGAGTCAGCAACTCCCTCGATTCGCCCATTTGGGCCAAGTAATCGAGTTCAGGGTGCTCCCCTTTGGGTTATGCATGGCTCCTCTTTTTCTTTGGAATGCTAGTCGCCCAAGAATCCAGGTTTGGTTCTAGCGTCCTCGGGCATGCCAACCCTGTCACCCTATGAGCAGTTGCTTTATGGGGACGACACTTGCAAGATAAGACACTGTTTGTCACTGATCTTAAGTAGGTGGTAGTCGTAAGTAGGGATTATTTTCTCGGGCTGGGACTCCCCTTGATGTTTCTGTTTTTGCACTGTAACACACCACCTCTCGGTGTCTGATGCTGCCTACAGTTTAAAATAGTCATTTTGACTGACCGGAGTTTATGATGGGTAATTGAACGTAGTGAATTTAGGCAGAGGGTTTTTCAACCCACGTATTCACATAGTTCAAACCCATCATAGACTCCAGGTTCCTCCCAATCACCCCACTTTTCCGTAGCAATTGGCTTAGTCCTCGTTTACAGAGAAAACCAGAAGTGATCACAAGGCATAAGGCAAGACTTCCCTTGACCTAGATTTCTTTCTCCATCATTGGCTGATTCACAGATTAATGCCTACAGTTCAAAATAGTCATTTTGACTGACCAGAGTCTATGGTGGGTATGAACTATGTGAATAGGTGTGTCGAAAACCCTCTGCCTAAGTTCAATTGTGGCATTGGTGACTGGTACAGACATAGACTCAGTTTACTATTTGTATTAATAATTTCTCTATTCTGCTTTTTTTACAGTATAGTTCAAAAGATACATCTCCTGTATCGAAATATATAACTCATCCTTTTTGGAATCAATGCGTTAAGGTAAAAAATGAAGAAGTCATAGTTAATGCTAGTCTACTGTTAATTTGTTGTCTGTCGCATGAGCAGTCAGGTTTTGTTAATCCTGTTAGGAAAGACAAAAGTATTCCAATACATGTATGGAATATTCACCGTCAAATCAATTTCATTTTTGGTTTCTTCTCAATATCGTCTCATCTGCTAACAATAGACTTCACTGTTGTCAACTTGTTACCAATGGTCTTACTACATGGTTAAATCAATCAAAACTGTGTAAATCTATATCATTGTTTTTTCCTAAGTCTAAATACAAAACAAAGTGCTAACATCGTGCATTTACCCAAGTGTGGTAACAGTGACAAGTAATTTGAAGAAGGGATAACTTCAAGTTGGCAGGAATTTACTTCAAGACTTTAAAATTTAATTTTTGTGTATGGAAATTCAGTTTGAACTTTAAAATATGGACTAATTATAATTACAAATCATATTCCAAATACGAGGTTGCCAAATTATAATACAAACCATGTTTTTAATAATAGGATTTAATGGTCGTATTATTTTTCTTGTTTTCTTGCAGCTCGTTCCACTATGGGTTGCACCAAATGTTTTGACGTTTGCAAGTTTTCTATGTTTAGTATTCAGTTTAGTTCTACTCTCGCTCTACGACACTAAACTGGTTGCATCAAGTCGACATTATCCAGATAGCCCTCCAATACCTAACTGGGTATGGGTTGTTGCTGGAGTATGTCAGTTTCTATCACACACATTAGGTATGTAAAATCTTTAGTATGATGTTATAGAAATCATTGCACTG